CCCTGTCTATAGAACATGTTCTATCCATGAGATCAGATGTATCCATATGACTCGTCTGAGTAAGATAATAATGTCTATAGAACATGTTCAAGTATCTTCATGTGACCCTAGTTCAGATAGTCACATGACACCCTTGAGTTCACGTATTTACCGATATTTACCTATCTGTGCACGTCGCGTGCAGCGTATGTAGGGGTGGGGGGGTTCACTCGTGTGTTCACTACACGACGGTCTTAGCTCATACACCATCACGTGACACATGGCCAACACGACACATCGTCTACAGCTGTCATGTTAACTGATGACAGATTGTCTTGAGAAAGGTTTCTTGGTTTAATCTTCATTTTGTCACCTGTATCGCAACTGTATCGGGGCTGTCGCATACCATGAGACGTCTGAATAAATAGAAGGAAATTGCAATGATGATAATAATACGAGATTTACGAGTTGTTTTTTTGGTAAACGGAAAAAAAGTCACAGGAAAAAAAAACACAGAAAAAAAGTCACAGTTTTTGCTAGGAAAAAAAGTCACGGAAAAAAAGTCACAATGGAAAAAATTTATCGGAAAAAAAGTCACAGAAATAAAGTCACAGAAAAAAAGTCACACAAATCTTTTTAGAAATATTTTGATTTATTTGTTAAGAATTGTAAAATTTTGTATGTTTATTTTTGTGGGTTGTTTTTTTTTATAGCATAAATTATTTATAAACGTTAAAAGCATTATGGTTTATAAAAATTGTAAGTAAAAATATTCTAAGATAATTTACACAACAATCTCAACTTTTGTTACGTATTTAGTTAAATACGCGGTAGAAAAGTTAACTATAAAACAAATTTAAGCACGTCATTGTGTGTTGCATATGTTTTGCTGTAGGCTGTTTTCTGGTCGGCCTTCCCTCAGTAGGCATTGTCCGAACATAATTTGTGTTGTTGACGTTTTGTGTCAATGACCGCCTTTGAACCTTGTCGGCTCTCTGCTTTGATCATAAGTTTTGTTATGTAATGAGCGTGATAAATGTGGCCAGTAAAGGTGGTTGAAATATTGTTGCGATGAGTTGAGGGCAGTAATTCAGATGACCTTACCATTTCACGGTTATTTAATTAAAGGAAAAACACGATGAAAACCGTGGACATTCAATTAAATGCTATAAATATTATGTTTAACATAATTACAATCTACATAATTCATACCAAATATTTCTAGATGAATTATAAAAATTACTATGCGTATACAACCTACACAAATTACATTACATTTAATTAATCCTAAGTTAATTTGCACTCTCTGAATATGTAATACATAAAAGTATTAACAAATCCCATGCAAATATATATTTGTGACTTTTTTTCCTGTGACTTTTTTTCCTGTGACTTTTTTTCCTGTGACTTTTTTTCTGTGTTTTTTTTTCCTGTGTTTTTTTTCCTGTGACTTTTTTTCCTACAATCGTTTTTTTAATCCGATCAGTTTCTGCCCTCCTCCTTTTTCTCTTCCCCCCCCCCCCCCCCCCCCCCCCCCCACCGCTGTCGAAAGAAGATAAATATAATTGAAATTGAAAATATTTATCAGTGTTCGCCCCCGCCGGAAGTTTCAAATCCCCCCCCCCCCAACCGAGAAATGTCTCAAAGAAACCCTGGTTTTTATGCACACATTTATTGTGTATATACATGTCTGTATATATATATATATATATATATATATATATATATATATATATATATATATATATATATATATATATATATAGACACACACACATATATATATATATATATATATATATATATATATATATAGACACACTTTTATATATATATATATATATATATATATATATATATATATAGACATATATATATATAGACATTCATATATACATATATATATATATAAATATACATATACATATATATAGATGTCTGGGTAAACTTCCGTCAACTTAGACGTGCCATCACTTGTGACCACCCTGATGTAAACACGGAATTAGACGAGGATTGAGCTCAGTTATTTTTTTTTTTTTTTTTGTGGCTTGCTTGAGTCACGTGATAAACCAGCCAACAATTGCTGCATGTCACAAATCATCTCACATTTGACATGCTGGCTGCTACATGACAGGCTGTACAGTGACAGGCTGTTTTTAACTGTTGTCTGCGTAGGCTGATAGATAGGACGTGTCAGCTCAATTAGATTGGGGGGGGGGGGGGGGGGGTAACGCATGTCATATGTTAGACGTTTTGACGTCAGCTTATTCTAGTTCAGTGTTAAACAATTTTAGACGCTTTATTATAGTTCAGTGTTAAACAATTTTGAACGCTTTATTCTAGTTGAGTGTTAAACAATGGTGGACCCTTTATTCTAGTTCAGTGTTAAACAATTTTGGACCCTTTATTCTAGTCCAGTGTTTAACTATTTTGGACGTTTTATTCTAGTTCAGTGTTAAACAATTTTAGACGCTTTATTCTAGTTCAGTGTTAAACAATTTTGGACCCTTTATTCTAGTTCAGTGTTAAACAATTTTGGACGTTTTATTCTAGTTCAGTGTTAAACAATTTTAGACGCTTTATTCTAGTTCAGTGTTACATCATACAATATTAGGCGAATAGTTGGAGCGTTACACCTGGATTACAATGTGCTAACTGATAGCGATGGCGTTTAAACCGTGTTTAGTAATATGCTCGTGTTTTAAGATTGATTATTTGCAGCAATTAATGATTAATATGTTGGTGTGTATTGATTACTGTTGGTCTATTGATTAAAGATGTTTTCTTTTTACTGATATGATACAGTCTGTATATGCTGCTAGTTAAAGTGTGTATTGTACACGCCACTAATGTTGACTTGTTTCTTTGGAGACCCTAAGGGGTAAAGGGCTGCGGCCACACCTCTCTAGAAGGGTAAAGGGCTGCGGCCACACCTCTCAAGAGGGACACCTCTCCACCTGACTATTTGCGCCCACGTAAGCCCGGCAGCCATAGCCTAATCTTCTACGGTCCTTCTCCAGGATTTCCTTGGCCGGCTTACTTTCATCTTTCCCTGAGGATTCCGATCCACCCCTATTGTGAGCTTTGATATCTCTGTGTATCGGCTGTTGCTTTGTGGTTTGCCGCGGGTCTTCATTTGAAGTTTGTGTGTAAATGTGCTGATATTAATGTTCGTGTGTGTAACATGACAGCACCGCTAATGTGCTTATATTAATGTTTGTGTGTGTAATGTGGCAGCACCACAAATGTGCTGATATTAATGTTTGTGCGTGTAATGTGGCAGCACCAGAAATGTGCTGATATTAATGTTTGTGTGTGTAACGTAGCAGCACCACAAATGTGCTGATATTAATGTTTGTGTGTGTAGATATGTCAGCACCACTAATGTGCTGATATTAATGTTTGTGTGTGTAACGTAGCAGCACCACAAATGTGCTGATATTAATGTTTGTGTGTGTAGATATGTCAGCACCACTGATGTGCTGATATTAATGTTTGTGTGTGTAATATGACAGCACCACTGATGTGCTGATATTAATGTTTGTGTGTGTAGATATGTCAGCACCACTGATGTGCTGATATTAATGTTTGTGTGTGTAGATATGGCAGCACCACTAATGTGCTGATATTAATGTTTGTGTGTGTAATGTGGAACGTTCCATTATCTCCGTCCTGCCACTTAAGTCGCAGACGACCCTATTAGCCATGGTGTAACGCCGCATTTCTCATTATCTCGACACGCACAAAACGGTTTAACGTTATATACGATTTTAATCACATTTTTCTGTGTACACACACAGTGTGTCTGAGATATCAGCCGCTGATCGATGACTGATTAAAACATAAGTTTGTGTCTGCATTCTTCAGCTGTGCCTTACTATCGCAACACGACTCATCTGTCATAAAGGTCTTATCGATAATAGGTGTCGGGTGTCGAGATTAGCTCCTCCTACTATTGTTGATGTGTTGTGAATTAGATTTCCGGGGCGTGTATGGATGAAGTAGCTCTTGAAGAACCAAGTCGTTCGCTCTGTAATTTGTTCGCTTCTGCCAGTGGAATATGTTGTAACATTATGGATACTTGTAAGCCTGGGCATTCATAATACGTGGATTATTTTGTGAGACCATGCCCAATTCGAAGCTGAGGAGTTCGACCAAGAAGATCAAGTTTAAGACGAAGATCCGGAATTTGTAAGTTAGCGTGAGTAGCTTTGGGAGGTTGAAGAGTTTGTCTCATCCTTCCTTTTCACACGTTCAATGTCGCTCTACACACTCCAAATGTCATCCTGCATTAGAGTTACGTCATACCTCAAATATGATTCTCATATCTGGTCTTTATGATGCTATGTCTGTAACATCCCCCCCCCCCCTTGTACTCCACAGTATAATTATTCTATCTTATACTCCCCATGCCCTGCTACACTAGCGGTGAAAAAAATGTGGTCTATAAAAATCTCCGATCTCATGTTCTATCGTGCTTCTAGATTTACTGACATGGTGCCTTAATCTTCACGCTAGTGACCTGAATCACCCTGTCAAATTGTCTTTATTTAGTTATAGCCGGCTCAAACACTAATGATGACACCTGATTGACCTCTCAACTTTGACTAGACAGAATTCGACCACTAGCTATGTCTGACGATCTGTGGACAACTAGCTATTGAATACCATGTAACCTGTTGTCTAAGTATAACTCTGAAAGTTTATATTGTGTTTTTTATTTTATTTTGATAGGATTCGTATCTTCTTTTAATTGCATACGTTTCACTTGCCCTACACATTATACTATTAATTTATGAAAATGCATGCCTTCATTACTCTGCTTAATTGCAAGCCTAAACATACATATTAACTTGCCCAAGTCATTTTTAGCACTGCGCACATATATTTTTTGCTCACACACTCCTTAGAGGAAACATTCCTGACTATCTGATGACCACTAGCTATTGACTGACCATGTGATGACCACTAGCTAATGATTGCCCACTAACTGACTATCTCTGCATTGTTTTGTCTCCCAGGTTCCGCTCTGGTTCTGTGGAGTCAGACAAGGGCCAGAACTATGGGGTGGCCTTGGAAGAGCCCGCCTCAAGGTCAAGGTCGTACTCGTCGACAGACTCAGAAACCAGCAAGCGAGGTGAGGCATTGTGTCCCTGATCACGTGACCGTGGTTGTGTGAAGTCTTTGTGTCTGTATGTGTCTGTATGTCTGTGTGTAGCCTATGTTTGTATGTGTCTGTTTGTATGTCTGTGTGTAGCCTTGGTTTGTGTCTGTATGTCTGTGTGTATGTCTGTAGCCTTTGTTTGTGTCTGTATGTCTCCGTGTATGTCTGTGTGTAGCCTTGGTTTGTATGTGTTTGTATATATGTCTGTGTGTTGCCACTGCATGTGTAAGGTTGTGTGTATATGTATGTCTATGGGTGCAAGCGTGTGTATATGTATGTCTATGGGTGCAAGCGTGTGTATATGTATGTCTATGGGTGCAAGTGTGTGTATATGTATGTCTATGGGTGCAAGCGTGTGTATATGTATGTCTATGGGTGCAAGCGTGTGTATATGTATGTCTATGGGTGCAAGTGTGTGTATATGTATGTCTATGGGTGCAAGCGTGTGTATATGTATGTCTATGGGTGCAAGTGTGTGTATATGTATGTCTATGGGTGCAAGTGTGTGTATATGTATGTCTATGGGTGCAAGCGTGTGTATATGTATGTCTATGGGTGCAAGTGTGTGTATATGTATGTCTATGGGTGCAAGTGTGTGTATATGTATGTCTATGTGTGCACCTGCGTGTATATGTATGTCTATGGGTCCACGTGTGTATATGTATGTCTATGGGTGCATCTGTGAGTATATGTATGTCTATGTGTGCACATGTGTATATATGTATGTCTATGAGTACCATGTGTGTGCATGTATGTCTATGTGTGCACGTGTGTGTAAGTTGGGTGTGGGGATGAGCCACACATGATTCAACCGTCTATTAAAAAAACCACTTTGTGCATGTTCTTTAAGTCTACTTTATTGTGTGTTGCTGTACAGGCATGTCGCATATGGGAGCTGCTTATTTCCTCTTGTCAATCTCAACATGGGAACTGCTTATTTCCTCATGTCAGTCTCAACATGTCTCTGCTGTTGTCGCTAAAAGCTGACACTGTTTTAACATCTTCCTGCTATGTCATCTTTCAGTTTTCCAACCTGTTCATTTACCTGTAACATTATCTGCCTGTGGTCTCTGTATATATTGTCATCGTGTAACATGTACCTGCCTGTCATATCAACCTCTAACTTCATCTACCTGTAATGTCATATACCTTGAATGTCATCTGCATGTAATTGTCATGTACCTGTAACACCATCTACCTGTAATGTCATCTACCTTTAAAGTCATACACCTGTAATGTTATCTACCTGTAATGTCATCTACCTTTTGTGTCATCTACCTATAATGTCATCTCTAGTGTCAGCATGTAAACTCCAGCTTGAAGCTACCCCTGTTCTCACCTCTAGTCAATCTAAATGTGCTACTTAATGTAATTGTGATTGCATGCATAAGAAAAGTATATTCTGTCCATTGTATTGATTGATACCTTGTGTTATGAGTATTAATAAGTCATGGTCTAGAGTCTAGGGCATTACCTCCCCCCCCCCCTATGTCATTTACACTCCCCCCCCCCCCCCTCCAATCAATTGGCCCCTGTTGATTGTAGTTATTTCTGCTCTTGCTATTATACATGTAATAGACTATGTGTTAATGAACTGGGGGGGGGGGGGGATTAAGGGGGATAATTGACCTAGTGGTAATGTTTCGGGGGGGTGGGGAATGGGCTATTTTGACTAGGGTAATGACCTGGTCTTGCTTAGTCCTAATGTAGTGACTTTGGGGCTAGACAGTAAACTGTTTTGGTAACATTCCTAACTGCCCCCCCCCCCCCCCCCCCCCCTTTCCCATCCCTCCAAAACCAAAAAGTTAAACAAATAGTGGCTTGCTTAATGTGGCACTGACGTCATTGTAGGTGTCCTTTCTATCTAGCTGGCCCCACACCCCTGCTTTATCCTATCTGACAATTGAATTTATTAATTTTTACCTGCTTAATCTTGCTTCATTAATTTTACCTGCTTAATCTTGCTTCATTAATTTTACCTGCTTAATCTTGCTTCATTAATTTACCTGCTTTTTTTTAAAATCTAGCTTCATTATCATTATTTTACCAATTCTTTGTTTTACCTGCTTCATTATTTTACCAATTCTTTTTTTTTACCTGCTTCATTATTTTACCAATTCTTTGTTTTACCTGCTTTGTCATGCTTCACTAGTTTACCTCCTTTATTTTGATTTATTTTCCTGATTTGTTTACTTGCTTGATCCTACTTCATTATGTTACTTACTCTAGTTATTCACCCTTCTAATAAAATGGTACAAATCAAAACAACGAGTAATACTCACACAACATTAGGCCAAACACACCCATCATCAAGCCACACCCATCAACATCAGGCCACAACCACACAACATCAGGCCAAACACACCCACACATCAGGCAACACCCATTCAACATCAGGCAACACCCATTCAACATCAGGCAACACCCATTCAACATCAGGCAACACCCATTCAACATCAGGCAACACCCATTCAACATCAGGCAACACCCATTCAACATCAGGCAACACCCATTCAACATCAGGCAACACCCATTCAACATCAGGCAACACCCATTCAACATCAGGCCACAACCACCCAACATCAGGCCACACCAATCCAACATCAGGCCACACCAACAATACATCAAGCCACACCCACCCAATATCAGGCCACACCCATAATACATCAAGCCACACCCATCTAATATCAGGCCACACCCACACAACATCCTTCTACCAGTGACATCAAAGTTTCACACAGATTACCTTAGTCCCCAACCTTTCTCATCCTTCCACTTTAACACTCAACTAAACCTGCTTGCTTACCTCCCCTAACATTTTTTTTTGTCTGCCAAACCTCACCTCCTACTATCCCAGAACGGCCACATTTTATTTTAACAGATAACCCCGCCAACTCGCCCCGCCCTTATCCTAAAGAAGGCGTGTGGGTGACAAACGCCAGCCACCCCAGCCCGCTGTCTCCGCCGCCCCGGGGGGCCCAGGGCCTACCTGTACCTAGCAGCAAGAAATCTCCAGGTTTCCTCTCTGACCTGTCCTTACAAAGCACTCCTGTTGATGCAGGTGCCTCGCCCACTAGCAGGCCCCGCGCTGGCAGCACCAAAGACGAGTCCGCCAGCCCCCTCTCTGCCACGGAGCTGCACAACTCTGTGCTCAGCGCCCTCTCAGGGAAAGGTCAGGGGTCACCCCAGGAGAAGGCTCCTGTAGAAAGAAAGGTCTCCAGCAAGCTGAAACCTAAAGGAACGTTTGAATACACTGTAAGTTGTTTTTTTACTGAAACCTAAAGGAACGTTTGAATACACTGTAAGTTGTTTTTTTACTGAAACCTAAAGGAACGTTTGAATACACTGTAAGTTGTTTTTTTACTGAAACCTAAAGGAACGTTTGAATACACTGTAAGTTGTTTTTTTACTGACAGGTGTCAAACTTAACTCAATTCATTGTTATTAATTGCTAATCAAAACAATCAACTGTCTTCTACTAAACAGTAACATAATATGCTGACAAGCAAAAAATTTATTAAAAGCTTTATTAATTGTATTAATTAATAACATTAAATTTTTTTTAACTACCACATGCTTATAGAACTTTATAGTATAATTGCTAAAAGCAATGTAATTTTAACTTATATTTAAAAACTAAAACAAAAACATGAGAACATGTGAAGAGTGAGTAGAGTATAATTGATAAAAACTTGGAAGAATGAAATGTTAAGCAAACATGATATGACGCCAATAATTCTGACGCTAAAGGTCAAAGATGGCGACACACTTGTCAGGATTGGAGCCCACTTTGACGTGACACCGTCAGAGCTGATCAAACTCAACCGGTTAGTTTCAAGAACCGTCTTCACCGGGCAGGTGAGAAAACCGTTTATCCATTTGTGTGTGTGTGAGTGAACAAAGCCAGTTTGATTGATTTCTCTAGGTTTATTATTGATGTACAAAGTTTTATAACCTTAGACTGAGACAAGGTTTTTAAAACTTGTGAAGCCTCTTCCCAAGCAAAATTTTTGTGCTCTATTCTACTTCAGATATGGTTGTGTATTGAACAATGCTTATACATCTGTATATCATAAATTGTGGAGGGGGAGGGGAGTTGAGTCTTATTGTATGTGTGAGGAGGGGGCGGGGGTGAGTCTTACCGAATGTGTAAAGTCTGATTAGGAAACATAATCTTGATGTCCAAATTGTACATGGTAATGATTGCTGAATAATCGTTCTCTTTAATGATGGTGTTAATGACCTGTCTTCTGAGACCTGAGTGTAGAAGGAATGAAGGTCATTGACCTTCCCCTTCTGTCACTTTATCTTCATGTGTTGTCACATCATGTGATGTAATGTATGGACTGCCTGTGTCGACAAAATGATGTGGATGATGATGGATAGCCACCCACCCACCCCCCGAACACACACACACTCCCCTCTTTTTTCCTCTCCCTGCTAAACATTGACAATAGGTTGTACTAAAGGCAGGAGTAAGCATCTACTTTTTTCTCACTCCCCTCATCCATCCATCCATCCATTTACCCCCCCCCCCCCCCCCCCCCCCCCAGCTAAGTTACAGTTTAGCTTTTGTAATCTAACAGCTAGTAAAGGAAGTGGCTTGTAAGTCAATAGGTTTATGACAAACGTATGTTTTTGTAAGCAGGAAGTGTGCTGTGTGTGCTCAATTACTAAACTGTCAGTTACATTTTTCAGACCCTGTTTATACCAGACCCTACATATGTGCCAAGTGACCCCCCAACCCCCCACTCGTCCACTCCCCCGCCTGACACCAGACCTAAAGTGGTAAGTGATTGCCTGTCAGTCATTGCTGTCTGTCATCTTTTGCTGTCTGACAGTACCTGTGTGCTGTCCTGGTTAATTGTGATCGCTTGTTTTGTGTCACTCTTCTTGGTCATTTTTTTCTCTGATGTTTTTTTCTTCTTGGTCATTTTTATCTCTGATGGTCATTTTCCTGTGCTGGTCATTTTGTGTTCTAATGGTCATTTCTTTATGTGACAGAATCTGTCCAGTCTGAACTATTACTAGTGCATGACAGATGGGAGCACCAACACAAACTGGTTTAGTTACATACATGCCAAGTTGTAGAGACACATTTGGTTTGAAATGGTTAAAAATCTGTCCAGTTTTACTTCAGGGACATGTATGCCAAAATGTACACTATCTGAACTAATTTTATCTTTTATTTTTTTAGTTGTACATTTATTGTGTAGAGAAGTTTTTGTTCAGATTTGCCAGATATTAATTTTTTTAATTAAATTATTCCAAAAATAGCTGAAATGTTCAATAGTGTAAAGGTACTGTATTTTCTTGGCTTGCAATGATTAGATTTTTTTGTCAGTTGCACTGACACCTTAATCTTTCATGAAACAAGGGTGGGGTTAGCTCTAGGTATCTGTGGTTGGGTGGTCAGCTCTAGGTGTCAGGGTGGGGTGGTCAGCTCTAGGTGTCAGGGTGGGGTGGTCAGCTCTAGGTGTCTGTGGTGGGGTGGTCAGCTCTAGGTGTCAGGGTGGGGTGGTCAGCTCTAGGTGTCAGGGTGGGGTGGTCAGCTCTAGGTGTCAGGGTGGGGTGGTCAGCTCTAGGTGTCAGGGTGGGGTGGTCAGCTCTAGGTGTCAGGGTGGGGTGGTCAGCTCTAGGTGTCTGTGGTGGGGTGGTCAGCTCTAGGTGTCAGGGTGGGGTGGTCAGCCTTAGGTGTCTGTGGAGGGTGGGGTGGTCAGATCTAGGTGTCAGGCTGGGGTGGTCAGCTCTAGGTGTCAGGGTGGGGTGGTCAGCCTAGGGTGTCAGGGTGGGGTGGTCAGCCCCAGGTGTCAGCTAGGGTGGGGTGGTCAGCCCCAGGTGTCAGCTAGGGTGGGGTGGTCAGCCCCAGGTGTCAGCTAGGGTGGGGTGGTCAGCCTAGGGTGTCAGGGTGGGGTGGTCAGCCTAGGGTGTCAGCTAGGGTGGGGTGGTCAGCCCCAGGTGTCAGCTAGGGTGGGGTGGTCAGCCCCAGGTGTCAGCTAGGGTGGGGTGGTCAGACCCAGGTGTCAGCTAGGGTGGGGTGGTCAGCCTAGGGTGTCAGCTAGGGTGGGGTGGTCAGCTCTAGGTGTCAGCTAGGGTGGGGTGGTCAGCTCTAGGTGTCAGCTAGGGTGGGGTGGTCAGCCTAGGGTGTCAGCTAGGGTGGGGTGGTCAGCCCCAGGTGACATCTAGGGTGGGGTGGTCAGCCTAGGGTGTCAGCTAGGGTGGGGTGGTCAGCCCCAGGTGACATCTAGGGTGGGGTGGTCAGCCTAGGGTGTCAGCTAGGGTGGGGTGGTCAGCCCCAGGTGACAGAGTTCACATCTTTATGTATGTAATTAGGGACTTACAGTTGTAGGAACCTCATGTGTACATGTGTTGTTTAGCTATTAAAATGTTTAGATTGGGGAAGGGGTTTGCTGAGTACACCACATGGATTCATGTAACAAATCTCTATCCCTGTAACTGAAACAGTTTCTACCTAACTGCTCCCCCATACACCCACCACCTGTAGATCTTAATGAAAAATTCTGATGATTCACGTAGAACTGAAGCAGCTTCCCAAGTGTTGGCCTGCTCATAAAAAGCAAGAGAATCAATACCAAGCACTTAGTTATCATTGTTGTCACACACTTTAGGGTCAGACATCTGCTGGTGAGGGGATCATTTGTTTTCCCTGCCCACAAAACATGCTCTGCTTGCCATACTTTGCCCATTAGAGTGACCTCCGCAGACTTACGTGCACATGTGTTCAAATTTTCAGACGTTGGATTGTGTTCACCACTATTTTACCACCACAACTTTCACATTCAGAGCAATTCTTTTTTAATGGATGCTTATACTTGTGTTTAAAAAAAATACTTGTGTTTAAAAAAATACTTGTGTTTAAAAAAATACTTGTGTTTAAAAAAAATACTTGTGTTTAAAAAAACGTTTCATTTTTAGCGTGGTTGAAATGTTATCCAAATTGTACTATAATTGATTTTTCCAAATGTAACCTTTAAATAATGAAATTTCATACATCATTAAATTTTTACACAGAGAATTTCTCATTTGTCTCAATTCTAAACTATTCATTTAACATAGAATGAAAATTTTTAATATGAAAGTTATTTTGTAATTCTTAATTGTATTTTAACAATAGTTTCTTAAAGAAAATGTTTTAACTACTCAGGCCAGGGTAACATTTCCGACCAAACTCAGCTGTTAAAAAATTATACCAATAGTTACCTTATACAGTGATTTAAAATTAAATGACTAGATATCTTATACAGTGATGTAAAGGATTTTTGTTTTTTCTCAAACTGCAGTTGATATTGGCTTAAGGATTTTTTTTTTTCTTTTTTGGTACATATTTGTACACATATTATACAATATACAAATCTGCTTTTGTTTTTTTAATTTATAAGAATTCAGATTTATTTAATTATGTTTTACTCTTGTATAAATGGAGAAATATATCAATATTATTGGTCATATGATATTACGGCTTTTTATTTATTACTGTATTTTTTTAAAATAAATCTTTCTAAAGACTTTTGTGTTCCATTTTGTTTTGTTCCATTTAAAGGATATGTACAATTTGCTTAAAACAGTTAAAGAAGGATTTTTAAATCAACATTTTAAAAAAAGATCAAATGTTTGAAACATAAATTACATTTCAAAAATATTTTTAAGTCTATTTTGATGTTTTAGGTTTTAAAAACAGCTAATTAATAAAAATAAACATGTTTTATTTATATTGTTTGTAGTAATGCTCTAGTTTATTTATCTACCTTGTAGCTTGTTGAACAGTTAAAATATAAAAACTGGGAAAATCACAGTGCTTTAGCTGAGTGATATGTCCACAAAGGGAAATAATTCAAGGGAGGCTATCCATACAAGACTGAATAGGAGTTTTCCAGGCTTATCACAAAACTGACTCTAACAAGATCAGACTAACCAGCTGTATTCAAGAAATCATTTCTACAACTTAGCTACTATCATTTTGTTTAACTTTTGTATCCTGTACAATTTCGCTTGTATAACTCTGTTTTTAATTTTGTACAACTATGTCTTCAAAGCTGTATGTTTATTGCTTTCAACCATTAATTTTGGCTATAAACCAACCCATTATTTCCTCTACAGTTTCTCACATTTAACATGATATTGTAAAAAATGTTCTCACCCTCCTGCTACCACTGTTAAAAATCATGTTATATTCCGAGGGGCAGACAAGAGATCTGACGTTCTGGTCAGATATAAAACAGCTCCCCTCAGCTCTTACACTATATCTTACAGATCTCCCCATCCAACTTACACTCTATCTTACACCCTCTTACAGTTAATTCCTGATAATATAACCCCTATGAGAAGTTAACCTTGTATGTAGGCAGCTCACACAATATGATTGGCTAGTCTAACTGTTGTATGTTGTTAGTTGCTTTACTTGACCAACATTTCCTTCACCTCATCTAGTTATGCTCTACTGACTTGCCTAAAATAATTGGACATTTATTTTTAATTGTAGTTTTTTTTTTTTTTAATAATTAATGGCTTTGTTGATTTCTTCAAACTATTTAGATTTTAAGGAAAAAACATACAAAGTTGTGTTTAAAAATTGTCTGTAAATTGTATTTTTAAAATATTGTGTAGTACAATGTTAATAATGTGCCCATAAAGTGTTAGCGGTATAGTGGTAGTGTGTAAGCGTTATAGTGGTAAAATGTAAGCGGTATAGTGGTAGTGTATGCCATGTGATGGTAAAGTGTAAGCAACATGGTGGTTATGCCACGTAGAGTTGACTGAGGGCGTCTCCTTGTTGACTCCTGAGCCTGTCACAGCTCACAAGTCCCCACCATGTGTTCCCTAGCTGATATTTTTTTGTGTCGAGTATGTCAGCAAGAGGTTACAGAGATGGTAAGGACGTATCTGTTTTCAGCTGTATACGTCCACTTGTTGTCTGTGTATTGTGTAGTGTGGTAACCGTATACATTGATAGATTGTGTCTTGATGAGCCTGTTTATCAAGTTTCATTAATAGGACCAGAATCAATTATGTCATTTCTGCTTGGTGCTTTTGACAAGTGCCAGCTATACCTAGAGTGCTAAACTTGACAAATTTGTAGAATTCTCTTTAACTTTTACTGTTTGTTTAAATAGCAATATACTTAAACACTGTATATATGTATACACTAAAATACTGTTAAAAAAAATTTAATTATTTAAAAAACTTGATGATTTATACTTTCATGTTATTTAGTTACTCAAATGTTTGAAGCCTCGTTAGATAAATGTTTCCTCCATCATCAGGACGTCCCCCTGGTCAACCTGGCTGACCGGCCGATGCCCTCAATCCCCGGCCACGCTGTCCCTGTGTCGCCCAGGTCCCCAGACAGCAAGTCTAAACAGCTGAGTCAGCAGCGTAGTGAGGACGAGACAGACAAGGAGTGCATGCAGAAGTTTGTCAAGGGCCCGGCCAGGAGGGTGCTGGAGTTTGATGAGGAGGATGTTAGTCAGAACCCTGAGGTGAGGGCAGCTGGGTTGGGTTGGGTTGTTGGATTAGGTGAGCTCAGCTGGGTTGGGTTGTTGAATTAGGTGAGGTTAGCTGGGTTGGGTTGGGTTGTTGAATTAGGTGAGCTCAGCAAGGTTGGGTTGGGTTGGGTTGTTGAATTAGGTGAAAACAACTGGGTTGGGTTGGGTTGTTGAATTAGGTGAGTTCGGCTGGGTTGGGTTGTGGAATTGTTATAAAAACTGGATTGGGTTGTTGAATTGTGTTAACAATGGCTTGACTAACACCAATTAGTCATGTGACCAGCACTGATCTGGTCATGTGACTATCACTTATCCAAACTGATCTAAAACCCCATGCTAATCTCATGCTATTACTGCAGTTGAAACTCCCATAAGCTAATCCATGTTTCTCTTCTGTCTGCCCCAGAGCATCATAGTGAAGGGCACCCTGCTAGTGACCCCCAACGCGGTCATGTTTGACCCAGACGCTAACGACTATGCAGTGATCAACCACAAGGACCCCAACTCCCTGGGCATGGTGGTCTATATGGATGAGATCAAAAGTGTGGCCTTGTTCCATGACATCTCCCCACGCATGTTCTGGAGGCAGCCCAAGTAAGTGCTCACCTTGGCCTCTTACAGGTCTAGTCTTGGCCTCAGTGTTACAGGGCCATGTAACATAATCTTGTGGAAATAGTTACTGAGACTTTGTAAGTCTTGGGGTAACATTGTGCAGACCGCCTAAAATGAGCAGAGTACAAAAGCATATTTCACCCTTAGCTAGGCATTCGCTAACCTTAACCCTAACTTTTTCTTTTCATTTTAGGGTTATTTGATATTAGGATTAGGTTTAGCATCAATTTGTTATAGACAAGGGTGTAATATCCTACTATAGTCTCCTTGACACATAATTGATAGGGGTCAATGTTCTGCTCACATTAGTTACAGGGACTATTGAGTTTAGGCGTAGTTCTTGTACACATCAAGTTGTTTGAGATTGATGTCGTACATAAAGGGGTCTTTGTAAGCTGAAAACAGAAATAAATGTTGATGAAACAATTTTAGTGGTTACAAGATGAAATTTGCTATTTGTCCCTCACTAAATTTGAAAAGTTAAAAATTATCAGCTTGGTTTATTTTTTCTGTAGAGAAATCCGTGCTCATTCCCCCAAACCTACGCCTTACCGCACATCCCGGCCCACGTCAGAGGTGGAGCGAGACGGAGAACCCTCCAGTAAACCTTCCCCCCTCACCCTGAGTGACCAGCGTCCAGCGCCAGATGGGGAAAGTGTGGGGGACAGCCAGCAGCGCCCCCCACCTGATGGCGCTGACCCTACAGAGGTCAGCAAGGAATCAAAGACTGGGAGAACTTCAGAGGAGCTGGAGGTTATGTCAGAGCTACCTGCAGTAAGTGATAGGGCTACCTGTAGTGACAGGGCTACCTGTAGTGATTGACAGTGCTACCTGCAGTAAGTGATAGGGCTACCTGTAGTGACAGGGCTACCTTCAGTAAGTGACAGGGCTACATGTAGTGACAGGGCTACCTGTAGTGACAGACAGGGCTACCTGTAGTGACAGACAGGGCTACCTGTAGTAAGTGTGACATAGCTGTCTGTAGGGAGTGACAGGGCTATTTATATTACGTGACAGAGCTATATAAAATTGTTGAAACCATTTAAACCCTTTTTTAAGACCAAACATTAAGTAAGGATTATCTATTTCTACCCCCTGTATTGACTAATGCAGCTGGATATTAATAAAGCTGACTTTGACCTTTCTGTTTTAGCTACACTCAGATTCACCCCAGCAGCAGGGGAGGGCCTCGGAGGAAGTGGAGAATGCCCTGACCCAGCCCCAGGCGGACAACAGCCACTCCCCCCTGGTCAAGCAGATGTCCAGGAGCTCTGAGCTGGAGGTCAGCGAGATGGCCCTGCTACAGGACTCCCCCGATGGCTTCGGTGAGACCCGCGACTTCGGAGGTCACATGGGACGGTCTTCGTCTGAAGTCCACAGACACACCTCCAGCTCGCTGGGCAGGGTCTCGGACTCCTCCCCCGGGGACATGTCTGGACGCCAGTTCTTTGTGGAGCACAGTGACTCAGCCAGTGACACCCTGGGTACCCCCACCCAGGGCTTCGCTCCCCTGCACTTCACCGACCGCTCTCCCAAAAGTGTGTTGGCTCACCCCAAGCCAGTGCCAGGCCAGAGGGGGATGCTGCTGCCCCAGTCCCCGGCGCCCCAGAGTGACTTAAAGACTCAGAAGATTCTGGAAGACAGTGAGGCCAATGTCTCCGACTTCCAGAGTGGCGGCCACTTCCACGCACCCAACACAGCTGCAGCGACGACTGACAGCAACACCGCAGGTCTTTCAATGGCAGACACGGAGCAGACGCCAGCTCCGCAATCCACGGATAGTGGATGTGCAGCAGCAGCATATGAAAGCAGCACCGACACTGAGAGCATCTTGGCATCAGCTGATGACCCAAACAACTTTTCCCTGTCCAGTATTGAGATTGTCGACCACCAAGATTGCAAAGACGAACCCTCAAAATTTGGCCTCGGCAACCCCTTGCCCTTATTTTCCCCCCTGCGCACCCCAGCTCAACAACTGTCTAACATCATCGTCAACTACACAACCAACTTCATCCGCAGCGCCACCTCAACCGTCAAATCTGGATCCTTCTCCTCCCCCTCCGTCAACGAGACCAGTCGAGCCAGAACTAAATCTGTGCCAGTTTTTCCTACAAATTCCCTGGCTGGCATTCAGCTACGCAGCGGCTTCACCAAGGAGGATATGGAGAAAGCACTGGGACCTGATCCCAAAAGTAAGTTGTAGAATTATTTTGATTTTTCTCTTATTTTTAGTTGCGTATTTAAAATATGTACAGTTCATAAAGGTTGCAGCAAGCAAAGATTTGAAGGAGCAGCATCTGATAAACTTGTCTGGACAGAGACCTGACTTTGACATCTGACTTTGACATCTGACTTTGACATTACTGTTGTGGAACCTGTTGATGTTTAACAACTTGTGTCAGACAAATGCTATTAGTTAAAAAACTAAAACCAAAATATAAAATAGCTAATGTGTTGTTGTGTAAACAGTATATTGGCTTATATATCACTGTCTTGTAGAGAAATTCCTCTTAAGCTTGTAAAAGCAATAGACTGACCACAGGTCAGTTGATGTAATGACATCTGCACATGTTCTCATGCTGAGTTTCAGTTTCTAGAATCTCCACCAAACAGCAGACATCACTTGCTCATCTACTTGCTGCTTGTTCATGTTTGTGTATGCTTGTACTTTTCTACTTGAATACTTGCATAGTTTTGTACATGTAAACTTGTGTAATAGTGGAGACTTGATTGATTGTAATGATGTTTGGCTGTTGACCTTGAATGTAAGTGCTGGTGTTTCACTTGTGTTGCTAATCCTGTTGTTCTGTATTTGTGGTTTTTTTCTATATGTAGAACTAATGTAGCAATTCCACTAAAGCTTAGAGAGTTATTATGTTTTATTTTCAACACTGACAGAATTTAATAACACTGAACACGACTATAATATGTATCTAACAACACAACTACTTGCTCTAACTTAAAGATGTAATTTGACAGACTCACACTAACAGAAATATCACAGTCTGTAAACATTCTCAACCTACACTTCCTTCTCACTCCTTGCTTCTACAAACATCTATTCTAATTCCATCTTACCACTGTACCACATCTCAATACCCCCCATACATCAGTCAGTCTCTCCTGTATCAATGTGATTTGACCCTCGTCTTCTACACACATCTAATTCCATCTGACCACTGTACCACAGCTCAATAGCCCCCCCTCCCCCCCCCCCCCCCCCCATAGTCAGTCCCTCCTGTATCAATTAGATTTGACCCTGGTCTTCTACACCTCAAGTCTCCCCCCCCACCCTTCTCAGTCTGGCACTGTGATGTCCAAGTCACTGTCCAACTCTGGTCTCTCTCATCAACCGTCTACCATTTGACCACCTTGGTTACACCTGAACACTACAAGCCCTAAAGAGTGTAGTCTGTTGGCAGTGGTGGATGTGTACTAGGTAGTGTGGTCAGATGGTCAGACAAGCCAGCTTTGTGTGTTTGAATCAGGACCATCCATGTTGTCTGTTGAGAGAATCTTTTGTTCTTTTGTGTTAGTAAACAATTGACAGCAAACATCCTTCATAAACAAAACGTAATACAAAATTTAAACAATAGTTTTTGTCATTAGAAGAAAAAAAATTTATTGGGGTATACATTTAATAATTATGTTGTGGTAAGATAGATATCTGAAACATGAAATAAACACAGCTGAATGCTGATCTGCTTTGTTTAGCACAAGCATCTAGCACTAAAAACACACACAGAGCTGCACTTTTCAAAATGACTATCAATACATTACAAGTAGATTGTTTTTGCATGCATGTATTTCTGTTATTTGAGGCTAGGTTTAGTGTTAAAGTAGCTATGTTAGGAAACAAAAATTGATTTAATTGCCCAACCAGCAAGCTACAGGTGCCTTAAAGTGTACAGCTGTGTAGGGATCAGCACACTTTCAGATAGCAAAAAACACTGGAATATTCAACAGATCTTTAGTGAATGGGAAATTTATGTTTTATTTTATTTTATTTGTTGGAACATACTTAATATAAAGCATCAGAGGGATAAATAATGCTATCTTTGTCCTACGCAACCATCAACGATGATCCTATGATTTTATTCTTACCACTTTTTTCTCATCGTGACATATTTATATTAAAGATTATATTTTGTTTTCAAATAGTTTTTTTTTTTTAAATTTATAAACCTTGTGTGTGTTTTTTTGTTCAGATTACCTGCCTCGATCTGACTCCCCCCACTTTGAGCAGCCGCCCCTCTACTTACAAATCCGACCTGGAATCAAGAGAGGCAATGAGTCGCGTCAGCCGCGGGCGTTTGACCACAGGAAACAGAAACTGATAGAGGAGTACTGGCTCATTGTGCCGCGTGAGATGTAAGTAGAGATGGGAGATAACTCTCTCAGACCTCTAGTGAGTTGATTCCCTTGGGTTACATCATTGTGTTTTTATCAGTCACACTGTTGACAAAAGATTAAGTTATCAGTAGTGGGTCTCCAGTTGTACTGTGAGTTCAATGCACACTGGGATCATGTGTCATTGATGGGTTCTGGGTCACTGAGGAAATAGCTTTAAAAAACTAGTTCTCAGTTCAAACGAAGAAGCATGGAGTGGTGACACCATATTCTATCACCCCAGGTCACTAAAAATAGCTGTAAACTCATTCAGGCTATGTAGCGTGGTGACACCATGCTGTATCACCCTGGGGGCACTTCACCTCTGCTTTGTGACCAGTTTGAGAATCACTGACGTCATCATATCAGTGTGATTAAAATAATCTGTCAGTGAGAGTCATGTCTTAATGAATAACTTGTCTAATTAATTGCTTAATGTTTGCATTGTGAGGATGGAAAAAGTTAAACAATTGTTTCCTATAAATTAGTTAATGTTTTTTAAAAACCCAGTGGAAACAAGCTGTATGTTCAAGTTAATGTTTTTTAAAAACCCAGTGGAAACAAGCTGTATGTTCAAGTTAATGTTTTTTAAAAACCCAGTGGAAACAAGCTGTAAATTCAAGTTAATGTTTTTTAAGACCCAGGGGTAACTAGCTGTAAGTTCAAGTTAATGTTTTTTAAAAACCCAGGGGAGACAAGCTGTATGTTCAAGTTAATGTTTTTCAAAAACTCAGGGGAGATAAGTTGTACAGTTTCCTGATGGAATGGCAGCCTGAAGCTTATGGAGACCAAGATGAGACGGAGCCCAGGGAAAAATTTTTCTTTGACATCAAGGAGGTGGAGGACCTGATCAAGCCACTGAAGAAGTCATCAAATCTGTCGCTGGACCGCGGCGACAGTGGTGTGTTGGATGGGAATTCTAAGGAGTTTGAGAAAACTTGGGAGGTTAGTATCATCTTAATGATGGGGGGATGGTATCATCTTAATGATGGGGGGATGGTATCATCTTAATGATGGGGGGATGGTATCATCTTAATGATGGGGGGATGGTATCATCTTAATGATGGGGGGATGGTATCATCTTAATGATGGGGGATGGTATAATCTTAATGATGAGAGGATAGTATCATCTTAATGATGGGAGGTTAGTATCAGTTGTCTTAATCATTGGGGATAGTATCAGTTGTCTTAATTATTGGGGATAGTATCAGTTGTCTTAAAGATGGGGGGATGGTATCATCTTACTGATGGGGGATGGTATCAGTTGTCTTAATGATGGGGGATGGTATCATCTTAATGATGGGGGGGATGGTATCATCTTAATGATGAGAGGATAGTATCAGTTGTCTTAATGATGGGGGATGGTATCAGTTGTCTTAATGATGGGGGATGGTATCAGTTGTCTTAATGATGGGGGATGGTATCATCTTAATGATGGGGGGATGGTATCATCTTAATGATGGGGGATGGTATCATCATAATGATGGGGGGGGGGGGGGGGGGGTTAGTATCAGTTGTCTTAATGATGGGAGGTTAGTATGAGTTATCTTAATAATGGGGGTTTAGTATCAGTTATCTTAATGATGTGGGGTTAGTATCAGTTATCTTAATGATGGGGGGTTAGTATCATCTTAATGATGGGGGGATGGTATCAGTTATCTTAATAATGGGGGGTTAGTATCAGTTATCTTAATGATGGGGGGGTTAGTATCAGTTATCTTAATGATGGGGGGTTAGTATCAGTTACCTTAATGATGGGGGATGGTATCAGTTATCTTAATGATGGGGGGTTAGTATCAGTTATCTTAATGATGGGGGATGGTATCAGTTATCTTAATGATGGGGGATAGTATCAGTTATCTTATTAATGGGAGGTTAATGAAAATTCTATACTCTAAATGTATGTGGTAACAGTTGTCTACTCAATAATGTTACAAGTTGTGTTTTGAAAATTCGTCAAAAACATTTTCTATTATAACTTGGGAATCCCTAAAATACCCAGCAGAGCTCTCCATCAAAAATAACATAACACTCTCATGGTCATTTAGCAGCTCTTTATGTTTGCCTTTTATAAACATCTGACATTTAGTGATTTGATGTTTGTTAGAAACATCTGACATCTAGTTATTTGATGTTTTTGTGATGGACAAATTAGTCAGACTCAACAGCTGTTGTTGATTGTTTTCATTTGCATTCATCTGATTATTAGTCATAGTCATGCAACACATCAATTAAAGAAAAATTAACTTGTTTAAAGTGAGATAATATAATGTTTACTGCAAATGTTTTTAATTTTGTATTTTAGGCTGTAATTTTTAAAAGTATGTTGTTAAGAGGGGGAGAGGATAGTTTGACCTTAATTTTGATTGACACTGTATTTTATGCCCCAGGGAGACTGAAACTGTTTTCTAAAAATATTACCTGCGAGGTAGTTCACATCATCTGTTTAATCCAAGCTTAAGCTGCTTAAAAAAAATGTTGAGGGTTGTTTCATCTGCTGGTTGGTTATTTATTTCTAGATTTCCACATTTAAATAATTTTATGTGTTAACTGATCCACTTTGTAATATTGGGTGTAGGCTAGTCCACTATGGAATGATGTAGTAACGTAATCCATAATTTGATGATATCAAGTGTAAGCTGATTCACAATATGATGATATCAAGTTTTAGCTTGTAATTATTAAAAGAAGTGTTTGTTGTGCTCTTTTAACACATCTAATGTAAACTTTTTTCTGTTTGTTTAAAACCCAGTAGTATCCAGTAGATTTGTTATATTTGCACTGAATTTAGCCAGTTCAATTGTTGCACGCATGTGTGCTTTCTTATCAGAATTAAATCTAAAAATCAGAACAAAACATAAAATTATGTTGGGACTATTTCATTACTGCATTTAATAACTGGAGCTTAAAAAATGAGTTTTTAATTATTTTATAATGTATTTGTTTGTTCTATAAAATAATTAATTGAACAGCTGTTCTGGTTGAAATCTCTGGGCCAGACACCTGTTTTACTCTGCATCTAATTTGCATATTTTGAAGTACAAAACATGTTTGACTGTTTTGTTGACAGTGGGAGCCCAGTGTTGGGGTAACCTACAGCTCCTGAGTGAAGTCGTATCAATCAACGTTCAGACCTGTAGGAAGATTCACTATGTCATTTCATCCATGTGGCTGCTTCAGCCAATGATAAGCCATCTAACTAAATCTGGGCTAACCCTTGACTCACTGGCTTTTATCCTACTTAACCCTTTAGCTCCCATCCCATGCCTGAGGGCAGTCTTGTCTTACACCTGACCTGTAGGCTGGGCAATCAATCATTTGATTTGGTTTGATTTTGTTTTACTGGCCCACATTTCTCATGTGGATCATTTGATTGAGTCGGGGTGCTAGTGTCAGAACTTAAGAGTGGAAATTGTTTTTCTGTGACGTTCTTGATTTGTTAGATGCTTGGTTAAATACTTGGTTACATACTTGGTTGCATACTTGGTTACATACTTGGTTACATACGTGGGTAAATTCATTCTTGGCTTGTGTGTGGCTCTTGCTCTGGGGTTATGTAGTCCTGGATTGTAAAACATTTAATTCATGTGATCTATCTCCTACAATATTTTAATCAGTTTTTAAATATGTTTGACTAAAGTTCTTCACTGAAATCTTGTAAGGCTTCTAGAAACAAAGTGTTAATCAGTGAATCAGGTCTGGTCTAGATATAAAATACTTTGTTGACATGTGTGAGTGTAATGAAGAGGCTAAATAGGTCATGGCAACTCATGTTTTTGTCATTTATTGGTATGCTGATGAAGCTGTTGTCGTGGGTGAGAAATATGCTGGTGAAGGTTATAGTTTTTGTGATAAAAGTTGATGCGTAGTGGCATGAAGGTGTTAATGAGGATAAGCCTTCTGATTGGCTGGATTTTCTCATTGTGTTTCTCACACCCACCCTCCAGTGATCAGTTGTTGTAGCTCTTGACCAGGAGAAACATGAAATGTGATTTTTTTTAATCTTATTTAGACACATTTACCAGTTGGATTTTTAAAATTTTATTTGGACAAATTTAGCAGTTGGACTTTTTAAATTTTATTTCGACACATTCACCAGTTGGACTTTTTAGTTGTATTTAGTTGTTGTGGTGTAAAGACATGTGGCTACAGTTGTTGGCGCTTACATTTTATTTCTGGTGTGGTTTGTGATCTCACCCATTGCACATCATGCAGTCAGTCCGCTATGGTGTGGTGTGGATAACTTCTCACCTTTTGGACATAAATCAGAAGAACCTCCCTCAGCAAGGTGAACATAGACAGATGACCTTGTAAGATATGCCTCAAGATAGATGGCAAGAACAGGGAAAGGACCTTGAAAAAATGATGTCAGCTAAAGGACCCTAAAAAATGATGTCTACTACCAAAGGACCATAAAACATTGATGTCTACTACTAAAGGACCATAAAACATTAATGTCTACTACTAAATGACCATAAAACATTGATGTCTACTATTAAAGGATCATAAAACATTGATGTCTACTACTAAAGGACCATAAAACATTGATGTCTACTACCAAAGGACCTTAAGAAAAATTGATGCCTACTACCAAAGCACCTTAAGAAAAATTGATGTCTATTAGAGGACTGAAAAGTTGACAAGAAATCTCACATCCACATGGATAACTAGGTGAAACATAGGAGAGGACGTATCAATGTACATGTCAGATTCACCTACAGCCATATGACAAATGTAAATGTCATTCAGCTTTAGTCAGATGACAAGGATGACATCTGCAGACAGCTACAGTTTGTTACACAAAGCAACCCGCCAAGTGACCAACCAGTTTGAAATGATGTTAACTTTGGAGCAGACATGTAAATTAGCTAGCCAACATGTTAATTAGCTGGCCACTTATGTAAATGACCAGGCCACACATATGTGCAGACTTGATTAAGTATTGATTTCTCTAACCTTGTTTTATTGTCATTCTGTACAGGTGAAAGGGAGGGCATCTACATAGTTGTCAATGGTAAAACAGTCTTGGTATCAAACTTGTCAGTTATTGAACGTGTGCAGTTATTGAACTTGTCAGTTATTGAACTTGTGAAGTTATCAAACTTGTCAGTTATTGAACTTGTGAAGTTATCAAACTTGTCAGTTATTGAACTTGTGCAGTTATTGAAGTTGTGAAGTTATTGAACTTGTCAGTTATTGAACTTGTATGTTATTGAACTTGTGCAGTTATTGAACTTGTGAAGTTATCAAACGTGTCAGTTATTGAACGTGTGCAGTTATCGAACTTGTTATCGAACGTGTCAGTTATTGAACTTGTCAGTTATTTACCTGTGCCTGAAGTGTCTCTGTGTTGACCACCTGTCTTAGTTGTTAGCCTGTTTGGTCAATGCAAAATGGTGCAGTTCACACATGCCTTGCAGAACACCTTGAGCAGAATCAGACATAGGGTATGTTGTTGTCATGGCAACCAGTTTTGTTTTACCACAAGCTTTACAGTCTAATTATTCAATAGAGTCACCAGTTCAAAACATACTAATTGAGGACTAAAACAATGTTTTGGAAAGAAAATGTTCTATTTTGTTAAAGATGGTAAACAAAAATTATTAATTAGCTTATGGTTTTAAATTGTAACTCACCAAACTCATGAAGGGGCAGTAACTCCTTTAACTTACAAATGGGCTGCGACCCCTAGTTCAGAAGAGGACAGTTTCAAATCCAGGTTGATGGCAGAGATTTGCTCATATCTCCACACTACAATCATGTGTTCTGAATTGTACTGTAACACCATCATGGTAGAGCCAAAGTTTTGTGTCTGTATACAATCTTATGTGTGATTTGTCATGAATCTTATGTAAGATTTGTGTTGTTCCCCCCCCCACCTGAATCTTATGTAAGGTTTGTGTTGTTGTCCCCCCCCCCACCTGAATCTTATGTAAGATCTGTGTTGTCACCCCCCCCACCCCCCACCCCCACAGAGTCTTATGTAAGATTTGTCTTGTTTCTCCCCACCAGATCCTGAGTAAAGAGGAGGTGTACAGTGCTGAGAAGTCTTGTGTGTGTATATTTACAATCTTATGTTGTTTTCCTCCACCAGATCCTGAGTAAAGAGGAGGTGTACAGTGCTGAGAAGTCCAACGCCCTCTCTAGGGAGGACACAATAGATGAGAGCCAGCTACCTGAGCTCATTGGACAGTCGCAGTTCATTGAACCGTATCATGTCCTCTCCGTAAGTAGTCAGATGGTCAGTCTAGTTCTGGTCACTCTACCATCAACTGGCCAGTTAAGCTCTGGTCACATCAATAGGTCAGCTTATCTTTAGCTGGCCAGTTAAGCTCTGGTCACATCAATAGGTCAGCTTATCTTTAGCTGACCGTCAACTGGCCAGTTAAGCTCTGGTCAGTGGTCAAATATTTGTATGCTCTTTATATTCTTGTGATATATTGTTGTCAAGAAATAAAAAAAATTTTGTTTAATTTTTAACTTTAAAAAAAACAATGTTTGAGCAGTTGGTGCGGTCACTGCCTCGTAACATGACTGCCGGCTACAACTGGGAACTGACCTATGCCACACACAAGCACGGCTACTCCCTACAGAACCTTTACCAGAAAATGGAAAATGTGGACGACTCACCAGTCATACTTTTTATAAGGGATACACATAAATGTGTAAGTGGGTGGCTCACCAGTCATACTTTTTATAAGGGATACACATAAATGTGTAAGTGGGTGACTCGCCAGTCATACTTTTTATAAGGGATACACATAAATGTGTAAGTGGGTGACTCACCAGTCATACTTTTCATTAGGGATACACATAAATGTGTAAGTGGGTGACTCGCCAGTCATACTTTTTATAAGGGATACACATAAATGTGTAAGTGGGTGACTCACCAGTCATACTTTTCATTAGGGATACACATAAATGTGTAAGTGGGTGACTCGCCAGTCATACTTTTTATAAGGGATACACATAAATGTGTAAGTGGGTGGCTCACCAGTCATACTTTTTATTAGGGATACACATAAATGTGTAAGTGGGGGACAAATGTCTTGTAGGTCTTAGCTAAGGTTACCAGTGTGTTCTATAAATTAAATTGTTTGATCTCATTCAACACGCTCTATAAACTGCTAATGTTTAAGTATTTTATACTTCAGTTTAATGTTTACGTTATTTGAAAAAAATTGTTATATTTAATGTACTTTAGAACTGAACTGTTTTGTTAAAAAAATGAATCAACTTTTTACTTTGCCTGCGCAGGTTTTTGGGGCTTTCCTGAGCCACCTGATGAAACCCTGTGACACGTTCTACGGCTCTGGCTCCACATTTCTCTTCACATTCTACCCCGAGTACAAAGTGAGCGTCTGTTTAGTGGGCTTGAAAAAGAACATTACCTCTTACTTTAGGAGTGTTGTCAGACTTTTTGTATTTACTAGAATGTTTTGTTTTTAAATTGTGACATGTGTAAGCAAAACAGTTACGTGAAATTATCAAAAAGTTTTCATTTGAAATTAATGGTTTTCAAGTGAAATAATTCTTTTCTTGTGAAAATAATTACGTTACCTTTGAAATAATTAGGTTACCGTTGAAATAATTAATTAGGTTACCTGTTACATAATTAGGGTACCTGTGATATAATTAACTATTGCTACTTAAATCAGTCTAAAATTAAAACTGAGATTTTAAGCTAGAACATTGTGATGTGAGAAGTTTAGGCTAGAATTGATGTTTTCATTGTAGCTAATCTGATTCAGGAGACCTCTACCAGTTGATAATCTTTGTATTACACCTGAATACACAAATGTTGGACTGGACGTGTTATTTCTAGTTTTCTTTTCCTTCTAGAAATACACTTGGCAGGGAGATAACCAGTTCTTCATTCATGGGACTAAAGAAAACTTCGCTGTTGGTTCAGGAGAGTAAGTCACACATTTTCTTTAGCCTTTGTCCAGCCAAGAACAAACTCCATGGTAGCAGTTGTTTGATTTTGGAGTTGTCTCTAGTAAATGGGTTGCTGTGCCCCGTCCGTCATACATTTACTGTCCCTCACACATTTAGTTTGTTGTCTTTGCTCCAAGCATATTATTTTTCTTTTTACCTTTTATATTTGTTTGTTCTTTATAAATTGATTATACACTATCAAAAATACCTTACCTTACTCTTTAAGTATGTGAATGTGTAGTATTGCTTTTGTCATTCTGCAAGTTAGATATATGATTGTAGCATACTTGGTAATAAGGGTTTGTTTTATGGCTTAAGGTATTTGGTTCTATCTAATTTGTTAATCATTGACTAATTATTGTTGTAGACATTTGATTCTAGCAAACTATTGTTGTAGACCAGGGGTCTCCAAACTACGGCCCGCGGGCCAGATGCGGCCCGCGAGGTCCTCTCATCCGGCCCGCGGAGATCTTTTTGTCCACGGAAAAAACGTTTGTTGGTGATGGCTGAGGAACTTTGCCCAGATAAATCAAAGACATGCCTGGAAGAAACTGGCCCCCGAACTAAAATGTGATAGTTGATGCGGCCCTCGGACTGAAAAGTTTGGAGACCCCTGTTGTAGACATTTGATTCTAGCAAACTATTGTTGTAGGCATCTGATTCTAGCAAACTATTGTTGTAGGCATTTCATTCTAGCCACCTATTGTTGTAGACATTTGATTCTAGCAAACTATTGTTGTATACATTTGATTCTAGCTACCTATTGTTGTAGGCATTTGATTCTAGCAAACTATTGTTGTATACATTTGATTCTAGCAAACTATTGTTGTATACATTTGATTCTAGCTACCTATTGTTGTAGACATTTGATTCTAACAAACTATTGTTGTAGGCATTAGATTCTAGCTACCTATTGTTGTAGGCATTTGATTCTAGCTACCTATTGTTGTAGACATTTGATTCTAGCAAACTATTGTTGTAGACATTTGATTCTAGCAAACTATTGTTGTATACATTTGATTCTAGCTACCTATTGTTGTAGGCATTTGATTCTAACAAACTATTGTTGTAGACATTTGATTCTAGCAAACTATTGTTGTAGACATTTGATTCTAGCAAACTATTGTTGTAGGCATTTGATTCTAGCAAACTATTGTTGTAGACATTTGATTCTAGCTACCTATTGTTGTATACATTTGATCCTAGCTACCTATTGTTGTAGAGATTGATCCTAGCCACCTATTGTTGTAGAGATTGATCCTAGCCACCTATTGTTGTAGGCATTTGATCCTAACTACCTCTTGTTGTTATTGTCCAGGGGACTGTTTGGTTTGTGGCTGGACAGCGACCTGAACAAGGGCAGGTCCCACGAGTGCACGACCTTCCATAACGAGGTCCTAACCAAAGAGGAGGACTTCACCATCACAGACTTGGAGGTCTGGAGGTTTGTTGAGTAAGTCGACCTTTTCCTCCCTCCCCCTCCTCTCTAGCCACAGTTTACTTGATGTCTCACCATACAATAACCCCCTCTTTCAGGTTCTCTAGCGACAATATTGATTCATCAGTAAGTACTAAATCAAGTGATCATTGTCGTTTGTTTCTTTTTTTCTAATTTCATTCAACCTTTGTTTTACTACCCCTTTCATTTTGTGACTGCTGTTTTTGACCAATGGAAATAGCAGTTGCCATTCAAAAGTTACCAGAGGTCTTCTCTACCTTCATTGTTTGGCATTGTTTTCTTTAAAATTGGACCAAATAAATATAGCTAGCAAGCTTGTGTTCTAACACCATATCATGCCTCACTGAGTTGAATTAATACATGAATTACGTTTATGTTTTGTTTATGTGCCTGGCTGTTGTAAATTAATTCCTAAAGTGTTCAACTACCAGTGTTGATGATGTTTTCAATGTTTACAATCACTGAGTGTGTGGAGCGGGTGTACCTGGTGGCTTTGGGTACAGGATGCTTTACGCATGCCCACTTTCTGTTGCCTTAGAAACAGGAGTTACCCCCACAACTTAGCCTAATCACTTGACAAAGTAGTTGAGTGTTTCTAAATAAAAACTACTAAAAATAAGACTTCAATCTATTTGAAGTTTTAAGAAAAAAAGTCAGTGCTGGTAATGGAATGGCTTTAGGAATTTGATTGGAAGATTGACCTGCTGTTTATAGTTGCCATGGTGACCTCTCTCCACAGCTCCAGTCTCTAAAGGCTGACCCCCGGCCAGCGGTCAGTTTGTTCTCAACTTCACCTGTCCACCCGACTGCTGCCAACCTGATCACCCAGGGACCCTACCAGAGGCAGAGACATTCCACCATGTGAGCGCTGGGTGTAGACGTGCAGCACAGTCGCAGCAGTTTGTGTCCCCTCGCAGGCCAACACCACACAGCTGGCCCTGGTGTTGGGGTCTGAGCCAGCAGACAAAGTACTTAAGGAGTCCGCCCATCATCCACCACATGAATATTCACTGACGTCGTCGTTTGATATTTTTTACACATGAAAGTAGCTCTAGTTCAATTGCTCATTACTGCTAGTTTCAGCTCATCAGTAGTATTATATAATTAATTGATTTAGAAATTAGTTTTAGTTTTTTGGGATGTCGTGGGCCAAGGAACTTTATGTGAAAATGTTGTGCACACATAAAGCAACTTTTTAAAACGAAATAAATAAATGTGTTGTATGTCCAAAAAAAATGCAACAAGTCAACTAAATGCTTGATGGTAGTTAAGTTTTCACTTTATATTAGTGAGAAGTCTCTGGGGTTTTTTTTATCTGTGATAAAATATTGAAAATAGGTGTATTTAAACATATTAAAAATGTTTATAAATATTTTCTAAATTATGTATAAGTCAGAGAGGCATGTAAATGTTATGAAAATCTTGCATTAATAAGTTTAACAAAAACCAAATCTAACAAACGAAGGTTAACACCATAAAGGCCAGATTTTTATATGAAGTTGGTGGTTTAGCTAGTGAATAGAACCTTCTGGGGGATGCCTCGTGTGGCGAGCTGGTTCAAAACGAGGCTGGAATTTCAAGGTCTATTTTTACCTTCTCAGTGTTAGCCTGCACATCTCAGCTGCAATAAGTTTAGACATGGTCAAATCAATGTGTTGGGTAGCTTAACTCTCTGTGTGTAGGTGAATACTCTTAAATGTGATCCTTGTGTGTTTTACAATTCACTAAAATAGAAAATGTGATAAGTAGATAGATAAAACTTGTATATGGGTGAAAAAGATATCTATATTTAGATTGTGATACTGATTATCTCATTGCTAGTGTATAGCTGGTGAACATGCCACCGTAGCCATAGCGATGTGCCACTGTTACCATGGTGATGAGCCTAGCTGTGGTGATGCTGTTCCTTTGGTTCAACTTGTGTTTGTATTTTCCTATCGGCCTACAAGGTCCGGCTCTGTGCAGTGGAATGATGTGTTTACACTGGCACGTGTATTTGTTTTGATCAGTTTTGGTTGGCTTTTTGTTTCTGTCACTAAATAAAATGTCTGATCTATGTGCTATTTTGTCTCGTTCATCTCATGAGTTCAGTATTTTCAGTGACATCTTAAGGGCAGGGCATTATATATTTTTTATATATAAATGTATATTTATATATATATATATATATATATATATATATATATATATATATATATATATATATGGGACCGATGTCAATGCCCCAGATGGTAATGTATTTAGACTAGTATGGGCACCAATTACCAACTTTAGTTGAAGTTGCTTTCTGTAATGCATTGAAAAATGTTTTAGTTAAGGTTGCTCAAGTATAGGTTAGTTTGAGTGTACAACAGTTGAGTGTACAACAGTTGAGTGTACAACTGTTTAGTGTACAACATTTGAGTGTACAACAGTTGAGTGTACAACATTTGAGTGTACAACAGTTGAGTGTACAACATTTGAGTGTACAACAGTTGAGTGTACAACAGTTGAGTGTACAACATTTGAGTGTACAACATTTGAGTGTACAACAGTTGAGTGTACAACATTTGAGTGTACAACAGTTGAGTGTACAACATTTGAGTGTACAACAGTTGAGTGTACAACATTTGAGTGTACAACAGTTGAGTGTACAACATTTGAGTGTACAACTGTTTAGTGTACAACATTTGAGTGTACAACAGTTGAGTGTACAACATTTGAGTGTACAACATTTGAGTGTACAACTGTTTAGTGTACAACATTTGAGTGTACAACATTTGAGTGTACAACATTTGAGTGTACAACATTTGAGTGTACAACTGTTTAGTGTACAACATTTGAGTGTACAACAGTTGAGTGTACAACATTTGAGTGTACAACATTTGAGTGTACAACTGTTTAGTGTACAACATTTGAGTGTACAACTGTTTAGTGTACAACATTTGAGTGTACAACTGTTTAGTGTACAACATTTGAGTGTACAACAGTTGAGTGTACAACATTTGAGTGTACAACAGTTTAGTGTACAACATTTGAGTGTACAACAGTTGAGTGTACAACATTTGAGTGTACAACTGTTTAGTGTACAACATTTGAGTGTACAACAGTTGAGTGTACAACATTTGAGTGTACAACATTTGAGTGTACAACTGTTTAGTGTACAACATTTGAGTGTACAACTGTTTAGTGTACAACATTTGAGTGTACAACTGTTTAGTGTACAACATTTGAGTGTACAACTGTTTAGTGTACAACATTTGAGTGTACAACATTTGAGTGTACAACATTTGGAACCACATTCCCACTAGGTGACATCCACCCACACCTCACCTTTTATTTAATCAAGAAACCTAATCACACTAATTACAATGATTCATTTCCGTTTCATCTTCCAGCAAAACTTGCCCATACATTTTTCATCAGGATTTGATTTGACTGGTTTTCTTTGCAGTTCTTCAGTTTGAATTGTTCATAATTTGTGATAAATATGTTCATTGTTAAAAATACATTACAAAACAATATTTGTATATAAAAAATTTTTTATTTGATTTAGGTTGAGTATGGGAAGTTAATGCATGCACTGGTGTGTTCTGTCATTATGCTAGTAGAGTTGATGCTGATGTATTGATGTCATTACTCTGATGTACTGATGTGTCATTACTCTGATGTATTGATGTGTCATTACTCTGATGTATTGATGTGTCATTACTCTGATGCTGTTGTATTGATGTCATTACTCTGATGCTGATGTATTGATGTCATTACTCTGATGTACTGATGTGTCATTACTCTGATGTATTGATGTGTCATTACTCTTATGTATTGATGTGTCATTACTCTGATGCTGTTGTAATGATGTCATTACTCTGATGCTGATGTATTGATGTCATTACTCTGATGTACTGATGTGTCATTACTCTAGAGTTGATGTATTGATGCCATTACTCTGATGTACTGATACCATTACTCTGATGTACTGATGTCATTACTCTGATGTACTGATGCCATTACTCTGATGTACTGATGTGCCATTACTCTGATGTATTGATGTGTCATTACTCTGATGTACTGATGTGTCATTACTCTAGAGTTGATGTATTGATGCCATTACTCTGCTGTACTGATGTCATTACTCTGATGCTGAAAGTTCACCCTATGGTTTGGCTGGGATGTGTGTAGTGTCCCTAGTGGTATTACACTTACATTTCATGGCATGCATTTGTGTCTGTGTTGATATATCAAGTTCAGGTTCTAGCTCAGTTTTTTTTTGGTGGTCAGTTTTTTCTCTCTCATTTGGGGCTTGTTCATCTAAGATTGTACATTACTGTCTTTGTGTCTAATCTGAAGGCATGTTCACAATGATTGTGAAACTTGGCTGCAGGGGAAATAACTAATTGAAACTTGTCCCAGGTTAGTTAACAATAATTTAACCTTAGCTGCTGGTTATTTTACTATTGTTGATCCTAGCTGCAGTTGAGGTCACAGTCATTGTGAAACTTAGCCCCATGTAATTTTGTAAGTATTGTTAGAACCTTACCCCAAGTAATTATGCAATCATTGGTGTACCTAAGGTCTAAATAATCATATAATTATTGGTGTAGCTTTTAATCTACAGCTAAAGACAGAATGTGTCTTTAACTCGAGTTAAGACAGTGTGTCTTTAGCTCTGGTTAAGACACAGTGTGTCTTTAGCTCTAGTTAAGACACAATTAGTCTGACAACCAAAAAAAAAATGTTACTCTGTTCTTCATTCCAAAGGTTGCCAATATTTACTTCTTCAAGTTCTGCTTTAAATTCTGTCTGTTCACTTTCTAATTTTGGTTCATTTGTGTCTGTTATAGCTTTCATTTCTAATAGTTCTTGTTTATATTCTAGTTCATGTAGGCCAACTTGTTTTTCCAAAGTTTCAGCCCTTTTATCTGCTCTCTGTTTTCTGTTTCTTTTTTTTCTCTTCCCTTTTTGTTGTACAGTCTCCTCTACTTTATCTCCATCTGACATTTTTTTTTTTTCTTGCATTTCTGTAATACCTCTTGATTTATTACACACTATTTCTATCACATCATCTAGTTCTCTCAATACATTTCCATGAGCTCGTTTGGGTTGTTCATTTTGTTCGTCCCATGCTTCTAATGCTTTTTCTATGTCTCGGTCAAATCGAGTGTTTGCCCAGGCTATCTGCTTCTTCATCTTCTTAATGCCTTGCGCCCTCGCTAGTGCTAGATATTCTTCAAAACATAACATTTTGATATATTTTCTATGACATAAAATATAAATTCATTAGTTGACAATAGATAAATGTTAATTAATTTACAATACCCTTTCTTGTATTCTGGCTTTGTTCAGTTCATTAGAGACATCTAGTAATCCAAGAAAAGTTCATAGTACATATATAGTACAAAAATAGTTCACTTTGTTGATTCCAAAAAGTTGAAAAAATTCAAAATAGTTCTAGTAGCCTGTTACAGAGTAGAAATTTGTCCAGTTTTAGATAAGACATCTTTAGGAACAGTTTAGGAACAGTTACAAAAATAAACTTGATCTGCTAAATCCAAACAGTAGAAAAACTTGAACAGCTAATCCATATAGAAAAAACTTGAACAGCTAAATCCAAACAGTAGAAAAGAAACACTAAGACTTGATCGGCTAAATCCAAACAGAAAAAACACACAGACGATATTTACTCGACATTGGTGAGACAATATCGAAATAAGGTGATAAAAATTATCACGTTGATGACTTGACTTGAACAAGACGTCTGACTTGACTACAGCAACCCTTCTGACTTGAGTGTAGATAGATGACTTTCAAGAACTTGACGTACTTGGTAAACAGTGGAAGACCACTTCAAAAACGTTGAAAACTGCTTACAATGATAATGTGACAATTCTTGATCACTTGTAGTAACACTGTAACTTCGTTGACGATTTCAGACTTCAATATAATTTACCAATGTAACAACATCACTTCTTCAATTGCTTCTGACAATGTAACAGTAGAATCAGTAACAGTAGCACCACTTCTTCAACCACTTTTGACATCATATGTAACAGTAATACAATGTAGCAACATCACTTTATTGCCTCCACTTCTGACACCATATGTAACAACATGAATTCTTTGTTGTTATTGTGGGTTCTTCAATATACTCATACGAGCAACAGTAGTTGTGAAACAATAACTTTATTTACACTTTGTACAGAGAATTAATAGACCCATAGTAAATCCATGGTCACAACTGGTATAAGTACAATCACAGTCAAGAAACAAAGTGTCGTAGTAACATCCTACATTCACAGCCACAGTCCTCAGGTTCAAGTTCTAGCACACAACCCCCGTTCACCTTTTTGCTCTCCCTTTTATTCACCACTTTCTCTCCCCTTACGTACATGAGCGATCTCACCCAAAAGCATGAAACAACACATGACGATCGCTCAGACAGTCCTTCCGCTAGCCAGGTACTCTTCATTCATGCAAAACACAATATAATAAGGATACATAATTATACAGTCTGTGACACGTCCCCCCTTCAATTAAAATTTTGTGTAACAAAATTTATAAATACAATATTGGTAGGGCAGGATCATGTGCCAGACAACAAAATTTTTATACATCTCAAAAAACATGGAAAAATACATTCTTTGTAGACTAATGCACAAGCATTATGTGTAATGTATTCAAATATGAGAAAGAAAAACATTTCAATTACCAAGTAATTGTATAAACAAGACAAATGAGTTTAGTGAATTACCAAACTATAATACATAGTTGAAATTATCAAAGACTTAATTCAACTCATGAATTAAATAATTATATCCTATGTAGTAAAAAACTTCCTTAGCATCAAGGCATGTTATTACGACGCATGATTAATATACTTTGTTGTCTCCCCTAGTTGACCCATTTCAGACAAATCTAGGTCACAACACAACAACATTGCCTTTCACAGGTATGGCTAACACACAATTCATCATTGAGACTTCCGTCTTATTGTTATGCGGAATAATAGTCTCTAACTTTTACTTGATTTACTTTATTCACTGTTAATTAATAGTATAGAATAGGTTTAACATAATACAGTTTACAATCTTTTGAAATAGTACACAATTTATATTACTGATACAAATTGTTTGATATTTATATATTACAGTTACAGACTGTATAATATTAATAAACTGTAAATTGATAATTTAATCTTAGCACCCTCTATAGCATGAGTAATCGTTCTCGTGCAGTTGACGATGACCTGTATGCCATCTCTCCCTCAAATTGTAGCTTTTAGCTGTGCTACCATAATCATTTCCTAGATTTCGTGTAACTTGTGTTACTTCATTTGTTTTAATATTCTCCTCTGGTTTCTGAACAACGTCAGTGGTTATCTTGCTTTGTGTATGTTGGTTTGGTTCATCAACCAACTCAATATAAATATTATGGCATTGCTTTGGCCTCTCATAATATGTGTTGCGTCGGTAACTTCCATTAGTATACCTATTCACACTTTTGTTATTCTGATTTGAAGTTGATACATTTCTTAAATTACTGTATTTCTCACATGACTTTCTGTGTACATAATTGTTTCTTCTCTGATTTGCCAACCTATGCCAACATTGATTTTGGTAATGACCTGTTTTTCCGCAGTAAAAACATCTAGATTTTGGCTTCTTATAAAC